TGAAATGGCAATAAGAAGACCAGGCACAGCTACATGTCTCTTTCACCAAAGCAGCAGGGCCAAAGGTGGATGGAGCCCAAAGACACTCAGAGCCAGCTTGTTCTTGCCATGAGGTTGGATGCCTTTCAGAGGGAGCTTCTTTCCAGACTAAGGCTGCAGAAAACTGCGGTAGAGAAAAAGAACAAAACACAGGAACAATGCCAAAGCAAGGCTGGTGTAGTGGCAGAATCTCAGCCAATTTTAGGTGGTGTTTAATTCTTCAAGAAATGCTCTAAAAGATATGTAGAGGTGTGCCTTCCTCATAAGGAAGTCCTGCTGTGTCAGTGAGGGATGGTGGAAGCTAACAGCAATTATGGAAGCAATGTGTGAAATCCTCACTGTAGCTGTCTGTTTCTGAAGCTGTGTGGGTGCTGCTGCTGCTCCTGTGGAAGTGAGATAAAATGCAGAAATTTGTCAATAGACACAAGAGAGACACATGGACACTGCAAAGTCAACATGAAAAGCTGGCATCATAGTACTTATCCAAATGTTTCCTTCTGTTACCCTCTTTCTCAGAATGTATTTCTTTTCCAGACACATTTTACTCTGCACACTTTCCCAAAATTTATATACCTCCAAAACATTCCTCCTTTCTAAATGACACTGTCTTTCGGTCTTGGGCCACAAAGTTGCTTGCTACCTTACTGCTAGCAATGTGAACTGTGTATTGTGTGGATTCATTTGTAGTCTGAACATTGGAAACACAACTGCAAAAGTTAACATAGCAAAATGAGAGAGTCATCTCTGGCAGATATCTGTGGTGTTACAAAATCAGAGCCCAAAAATACATAATATAGTTAATTACTGTTCATCTTCTGTTAGCAGTTATCTAGTGGTTAATATATCAATAATTGTAGGCCAAATACAGTGTAGTTAAAAATATCTAGATTCTCTCCTTCATTTAATATTATTTTAATTTAAATAATGAGGTTCCAACTTGAGCATACTGGTTGACTTTAAAATTTCAATACAAATAAAAAATTTAAAAATTACTGAGGGAATAATTCCAAACTAAGCTACATAATGCCATGTGACTCTTGCGCAGATGAATGTCTTACATCCTTCAGAAATAATCACACTACCTGTGGAATTGACTGATGAGGGTTTGGATATTTTTTCTAAACAGTGGGATAAAGTAGCCTCTGGGACTCAGTGAAGTTTCCAAGCTGTTGAATATTCATAAGGAACTTTATTGTTCTGATGAACAGATGTAGTGG